GAAAACTAATTTACATGTTTTTTGAGTACATGTACAAGTCTTATAACATATAAAACAAAAGGAAACTAAAACTAAAACAAACCCCGCCTCAAATCTTTATGTTTATCGTGTAACTCATTACCGCCCCTATCATTGGTCCATTTTCATCGGAACTACCACCAATCCACCACCATTTCTTTCTCTCTTTGCCATGCCACTGTCGTTGCCACCAGAAACTCTAGCCATCATGACCGCCACTGTCCCTGTCATCTTCCATCCCTCTCTCAAACCATAAACACAAGTACACACATAAAACAAGCTATGAACAATCGAACAAATCTATGAACAATCTAAATCTCTTCACAAACCCATCAACCACAAATCCGTTAAGTTCAAGAAGAAAAAACCAAAATAAAAAAATGGGAGCATCGGAGTTGTTGTGTATGGACTTTGATTTTCATAAACCTCACTACCAAGTTGGAAATGTCTAATTGCTTATTACAGGATTTCATTACGTCTCCTCTTCCATCATACTGCATCCCTTTACCTGTGGGAGTCCAATTACCTGAGATGGAATTGGCAAGCTGTATTACAGCATCTATACTAGCATATTTCCATTAATAACTAGTTAAATTTCATCGAGTAGGATCAAACGGGAAGGAATTCATTGCCCATAGAAAAGAAGGCAAGGTTGTGAGATTAAGTTTTTCTTTAGGGCATTTGTTGGAGTCTGTTGTTACGTCTTTTACTAATGTTCCTTTAATATTTCTGGTAGCTAAGATTTGTTTTTGCATTGTGTTGACCGTTTCATAACAGGTTTTGTCGTAGCTTTAGAAGCCGAATAATGCAGGTTTGTTTATGGCGCTGATTTCCAACTCTAACAGTTGTTGCAGGCTATTTAAGCCATCAAAATTGTTTAATAAAAATAAGCTTTTTGAGCTCTCAATTGCTCTATATGTTTAATATTTACGTTGGTCTCAACAGAGTTGGGGTTACAAAAACACAGCAAGAGGAGAGTTGGTGATTGGGTGGTGGAAGTAGTTCGCCGGATGAGGTGGAAAAGATACAGGTGGGGGCGACGGGGTCCTCTAGGTATACCAATATATTTGTCTATTTATTTATATAAAATAAAATGTAAGATAAAAAAGAACTGAAAAATGATCGAAACGTCCTTCACTTAACAAAATCTTTTAACACCGTCAGACCTAAGGATCGAAACGGAATGTAAACCGGGCATAGATGTAGTGAAGTCGAGGGACAGGAACCACATTTTTAGCAAACCACAAGGGAGAATTATGTAATTCACTCTTAAATTGTAATTTATGTGGAGTGAAAGATTTATATGAAACTTATAAATTAGTTTGACCAAAATTTATGTTTATAAATTAATTGTTAGTTTAAAATTGAGTTGTTGACTAATAAATATCTACTAGATATATTTCAATATAAAATGATTTAAATAAAAAATTTAAATAATACAATTAAAGGGATGTTTGGGATTGCTTATAAAAACAACGTATTAACTTATTTCGGTGTGACACCGGTAATAAACACTTTTGAGTGTTTGGATAAACAACTTATACCGGTGTCAAATCGGTAATAAACAGTTTTTGAATAAGTTAAACACTTCTGACTTGTAATAAGTTGCTAAGTGTTTTTTTTTAGAAAAACATAAGTTGTTTCAAATAAGCAATCTCAAACACTCCCTAAAAAAAGATGAATAAAAATCCCATTTAAAAAAATAATTTGTTGTTATCAAACATGACCTACTTATCTAATCAGTCATCGTTCGGTCTTCTTTTTAAAAATTGTATATACGGTTTTCCTACGACTCAATTACCAAAGAAATAAAGTTCGTTTGATTCATTTTAATCATAAAAGTGCCGAGATAAGAATTTAAATTTAAATAAAATAATATATAAAAACATTTATTATTTTAATACAATCATGATTTCACGATAATAAAAGGTTCCAAATGAACGTTCAAAACATGTTGATAATCTCGTGACTAATATGAAATTTTTAAGTAACTTCTAGAATTTGATGCTTCCACCACTTCGAACCAAGACTGGAAACTTCTAAAGGAAATTCGTACTAACAATTTTAAATACAATGATTGAATATATTTGATTGTATTTTAATAAAGATAATTTATGAATCAATATTTTGCTATTAGTTTTATTTAATGATATTATATGTAAATTTTAGACATTTAGGGTATTTTATTTTTATCCGTATGCTTACCGGTAAATTTAATCACATCATTTATTTATGTTACGCGTGAGATTTTAGTTTATCAAAATGACATTGTATGCAACAGTTTACCGAAGTGTGTGTTTGATGATCCAAACACCCCACAGTCTTCAAGTCAATCAGATTTGGTGCATTGTTTAGAATAAAACAAATAACTGTCTTGGGAAACTTATTTCTTCTCCCGGATTTTGTTAATAGATTCTCTTGTGGATCAGTACGATAAAAAGAAACAGGCTCGAAACATGCCACAGTTAAAATAGTTATATGTTTTAATTTGTTGACTCTCTCTGTCTATAAACATTATAAAAATTTGTGGTCTTACCTTCGTTTTAGATCATAAAAGGCATCAATCATCGCTTTGAATGTAAGAGCATTTCAAACAGATTCTTTATAATTTATTAAAAAAAGTAGAAGCAAAAATTTAAATTTTCAAAAAACTACAACCAACTCCAACGGTTTTTTTTTATAATTATTTTGATGATTTTCAACATTAATTATATTATTAAAATATTTAATACATTTAATGTTCTAATAAACTTTCAAATAGTTAATATTCCAAATTTGAATATTTTAAACAAACACGCTCTTTTTAATCTTTTCATTTTACGATAACTTTTAGAGAATCTCTTGAAATACAAAATATGACAAAAACTTCAATCTCTCTATTTTCTCATGTTATATAAAATCCTTTATAGGTGGTTTGAAGATTGAAACCGTCCATTACAAGTAGATATGGGAATGGGGCGGGGACCTCAATCCCCGTTCCCGATTAGTTATCTCTATCCCCGTCTCATTCCCCATCCCCGCTGGGGAATATAATAACATCTTCATCCCCAACAGAAAAACGAGATCTTTTTTCCGTTTATATAAGTTATTTTAAATTAAATATGTGAGAAGTCATACATGTTTAAATTTGAAACATTTTCAATAAACCTAAAACCAAACTGAATTTAATTTAATACCAAAAAACCACAACATCATATAAGAATTAATAACATAAAAAAATAATTTAATCCAAAAAAAACTTAAAGTCCCATGTACTAAAAAAATATCGAGTAATTGTATTTTGACTTGACATAAATACTATATATTAACATCCCAAAAATAACAATTTCAGATTATAAATCTAGTTAGGAAATATAAATTATGAATTATCGTTTTAGTTGAAATAAATAATACACACACACACACACACACACATATATATATATATATATATATATAAATATATGCATAATTCATTAAGTAATATATAACAGGTACGGAGCGGAGCGGGGAGTACGATACCCGTCCCCATTCTCATCCCCGATTTAGTGGGGAATCCACGTCTCCGACGAGGGTGGATGGACTGGGTTCCCCAACAGATCGGGGCCTATTCTCATGCTTAATTACAAGGCTTTTGAGAGCTTTTGGTTGCACAAACAAAATGCTAAGTTGTTTTTATCACAATTTCTTTTCACAAACCTATGGTCATTTATCGAACGTTTATAGGTAAAAGTCATCATCCTCATTTGTTTTATTAGGTAACATTTCCGCCCTTAAAATACATTTTTGGCAAATGTTAACCACTGAAAAAGCCTTCATCCTCACTTACTGCGTAATTAGGATCATCCATTAGCATGTTAAATATGCGTTTTTAACAAAAGTCTACAAAATTTTGGAGCTCAATTTTACTTGTTTTCAGGGCCTTATTTATATTTATAGACATGTAAACCCACTTCAATAAAAACTTATCTAATTTTTTTCAAAATAAAAAAAACGACTACTTAACTTCTAAATTTTCCGATCAGAAACAAAAACGACTCTTCAATATTTTCTCATTTGTCATTCTAATCATTTTTGTTATTTTAATTTGTAAGTTTTTTTTAATATGACATACACTTTTATATTTTAGTTTGTTTATTACTCGTTTCAGACGATATATAATCTGAGACGAATGTAACATGTATGACAGGGCATCCAAAAAGAATCGGGATGACCCTATGCATAATACTCTCCGATTCTTATTGTGTTTATTACCTGATAAGATTCTCGACTCTTATAATATTTAATCAATAAAATAAGTAACATCGAATAAAAACGTACCTAATAAACATTTGATAAACAACACATTTAGGGGGTGCTTGAGATTGCTTGTAAAAATAACTTGTTGACTCACACCGGTAATAAGTACTTTTGATTGTTTGGATAAACAACTATTACCAATGTCAAACCGGTAATAAAAAGTTTTTTAAGAAGTTAAATCATTCTGACTTAAAATAAGTTAATAAATATTTTTATATAAAAATATAAATTGTTTCAAATAAACAATCGCAAACAACCCCTAAAAAAATAGGCTGTTATTGTACACATCATTTGCAAACCGGTCTGTTGTGCCCGTATCTGGTTGCAACTCGATTCATTGTACCTGAACCGCGTGGAGTGGGACATCACAGCCGGCTCAAGCTCATACCGATTACCGAGTTGGAGTCACAGTCACAGTCACAGTCACAGTCACACCATTAATATCCACCCAGATGTAAGATGTTCATCAATTTGAATTTGCATTTCATTTGAATGAATTTGCATTTCATTTCATATTTACAGTTTTGAAGTGGGTGTGCCCTCAGCTCCACCATTGTTGAATGCTTTGACTTTGACCACAAAAAGAAACTCGCACCTTCCTCCTCCTCCCCTTCCCCACGTGTCCTTTTACATTTTTTATTTTATATGTATATATATTCAATCATATAAATATCCTTCATTCCATTGTCATTCTCTCCATCTTCATCGTTCCCCTCGATTCACTCAACAACAACGACAATTTCCTACAACTGAGCTACGGATAATTTTCTCATCAATTGGATCAATTTACTCCTTTTTTTGATCAGGTATGTTGCATCTTTTCACCCAATTGGAAGTTCTTGAATTGAAATTCTTTTGAGTTTCTGGAAATGCAACTGAAAAGTGTTCTTTAAGTTCTTTGAGTGAAGATTTTCAATGGGTTTGTTTGATTTTTGCAGGTTTTGATGTGTAGAGGGTTCTAAAGGAAAAAAAGAGAGGTGTCGTACTTGTTTTGATCATGGAGGGAGACAAGTTTCAAGAGAAGAAATTTAGGGTTCTACTGAAATGTTCGAATTTGCTGGAATTAGCAGCTTCCGATGATGTTTCTGAGTTCGTATCGGAGGTAGAAAGAAAGAAGATTGCTTTGGATGAAATCGGATTTTGGTACGGACGGAGGAATTCGTCCAAAGGAAAGATGGGATTCGACGAACGAACCCCTCTCATGATTGCTTCCGTTTATGGAAGCATTCGAGTTTTGAAATACTTAATCGGTAGTAAAAGAATCGATGTCAACAAAACCTCCGGTTCCGACGGCGTCACCGCTCTCCACTGTGCTGCCGCCGGCGGGTCTCTTTTGTCCGTTGAAGTCGTGAAGCTGTTACTTGACGCCGGTGCTAATATTACTTTAACCGATGCCAACGGAAACAAACCAGGCGATTTGATTGCTCGTGGCATCAAATCCGCCATGCGAAAAGCTTTGGAGATGTTGTTGAAAGGTTTTGTTATCGAAGAAATTGTTACAGCGAAAAAGGAGTACCCGATTGATGCAACTTTGCCGGACATAAACAACGGGTTGTACGGCTCCGATGAGTTTAGGATGTATACCTTCAAAGTGAAGCCATGTTCAAGAGCTTACACTCACGATTGGACGGAGTGTCCGTTTGTTCATCCCGGCGAGAACGCGCGGCGGCGTGACCCGAAGAAGTACAACTACAGCTGCGTCCCGTGCCCGGAGTTTCGTAAAGGAAGCTGCGTTAATGGCGATGCTTGCGAGTATGCACACGGGGTGTTTGAATCTTGGCTTCACCCAGCTCAATACAAAACTCGTCTCTGCAAAGATGAAACTGGGTGTGCGAGAAAAGTGTGTTTTTTTGCGCACAAGATCGAAGAACTGAGGCCTTTGTATGCTTCTACTGGTTCAGCCATTCCCTCACCCAAATCAGGGTCCATTGAAATGGGTTCTATGAGCCCTACCCCGAGCCCGATGGCTCATGGTTCGACCCCGCCGATGTCACCTTCTATTGCTCCGGTGTCTCCCATGAATGGGTGGCAGAATAAGATGAACCATTTAACACCGCCAGTGCTTCAACTTTCCGGTAGTCGTTTAAGGACTGCTTTGAATGCAAGAGAGTTCGAGTTGCAGAGCTTAAGAACTCAACAAAAAGAAAGGCAACAAATGCTTGACGATTTGTCTGCAAATCATTACAGCAATCGGTTTGGGGAATTGAATCCCACGAATCTTGATGATGTTTTTGGATCTTTTGATCCATCTATTTTGTCATCGATTACAAATGGCGCAACCCAACTGCAATCTCCCAATGGCCACCAACACCGGCAAAACCCTAACCAGCTCCGGGGAAATTACGTAAATTCTCCGATGAGAAAACCTGCAAGTTTTGCGTTTGATTCATCGGCAGCGGTTGCTCAGGCGGTGATGAATTCAAGGTCCGGTGCGTTCTCGAAACAACGCAGCCAGAGCTTCATTGACCGTGGTGCAGTAACCACCGGTGCACCATTTTCGCAATGGGGTTCGGCGGATGGGAAATTGGAGTGGGGGTTTAACGGTGAAGAGGCTAACAAGCTCAAAAAGTCTGCATCTTTTGGGTTCAGAAATGGTGTGCCTGTGAGTGTGGGTCATGAGCCAGATGTCTCATGGGTGAATACTTTGGTCAAAGATGTTTCATCTGTCGGAGTTGGGCTGTATAGTTCGTCGGAGAAACAAAGATACGGCGGCCGTGGCGGCGGTGGTGGTGGAGAGAAGGTGCCACAATGGGTGGAGCAAATGTTCATAGAGCAGGAACGCTTGGTGGCATAAAGTCAAAAGACGTCGTTTTGTCTACCACAACAAAATAGATTTTTTAAATTCTTTTATTTCCTTTAACTTTGATGTAATTTCTTTTTCATAATTTCCCAATGAGTACTTTAACTATCGACAAATAATATTGGGAATCTTTAATTAACCTGGATATCCAACTTGTTGTGTGAGCTGATTAATCTAGAAGGACCGTCTGTTTTACAGATGGTCCAGAGTTACCGTATTTGAATCTCCATGGCTACAAGGGGATTTTTATTCCTCTTTAGATTTGAACATAAGACCTCCTTATATTTTTGACATTTGGATTTCAGCTCAAACCAATCAGGCGCCACCCTTGTGGTTGGGAATGGTAATTTTTATTCATAACACAATCAAATCCTATCTTATAAAAAATATTGTGTTTGGTTTTATGAAAAAAAAAATTGTATTTTATTGTATTTTAAAGAGTAAAATGTAAATGGTGACGTGTTGACAAAAGACATAGGGGATGTAATGGAATATCCCGTCTTTTTTGGGTTCGAGTCCATGTGCTAGCATACTATGGTCAGGTTTCGTCTTAGACGATCGTAATTTATCAGGATGTGGTTTAGAAAATAGCTTAAGTGAACTTTTTTAAGAACAAAAAACATATTTCTTAGATGGATATCTAAGATTTCAAGTCATTGTTAACTTTTTCTGGTAGATCATTCCTCTAATAGGTTCATATCAGGATGGGTTTTTATCATGCGTTTATATTATCACGTTAATGTTTTGGTCGTATGATGTTCAAGTTTTTTGTTATGATATGCTATTTATGTTGAATAAGTCATGATATATTGTTGGGGAGTGTTAATGGCACCCCTTATTAAGGAGTGTTGAATTTTGAGAATTATGATATCTTTAAAATTTATAAAACATCAAATCGATTTAATAATATATTATATTTAATTATTATTACTATTTAATACATATATATATAAAGTTATATTATATAATTATATACATACTCTTTATGTATACTTTATATA